GACCCTTAGAAATGGTTTTGAAAATGTAGGACCTAAATGGTGGCGGAATCTGTTTTAAGCAAAGTGCTTAAAGGAGAATTGAACTTAGTGTACCTAATTCTACTCTTGAAATCGTAACCAAAAGCAATGTAAGTTATATATGAAGTAAAATGCAGATGTCTGTAGAACTAGCACTTATGTTTTAATATCTATAAATTCATCTATTATAAACAATAAAATACTGATAAGCTCCAAAGACTCTTTTATCATAATCTGTATGCTTTTGTTGAGAGGAAGAAACAGTAGAATGGTCATTCTATTAGATCGTGTCTAATGACCAAGTTATCAAAAGATTTATTTGCATTTCCTTTCTTCATCCTCCTATCCCGTCCTCCTTACGTATTTCTGAATTTAATCCCTGTGTATGGGAGCAAATAACCTACATCTTCTGAGTTGATTAGGGCGTAGATACAGATCTGCTCTGTTCTCTTCTGGGTGCATATGGACTGCACAAAGTCTTGGCCCTTCTTACTCAGTGTAGTCGGTGCAGAGCAGGAAAAAGGCTGCAACAGATGAAAAACCAGTACCGCTTCCTTTCCCACAAGGAGCGTGGCAAAGACAGAGTTGTCGCCCAAGCTGGAGCCAAAACTCTGGCTTGGCTTTGTTCTTCTGCCAGTGCATAATTGCATTGCCCGTTGCTCAGGCAAGATTGCCTGGTGGCGTACTGGGTCCTAAAATCTTGGATCTTCCTTTAAATCAATATAAGGAAAAAAACCTCATTAGAAATTGGAAAAAGAAAACCAAGACTACGTGCTAGGCACAATAGATGTAATTCAGGAATAAAGAAAATTCTTGAAGACTTATAGCGGTTTCCTAATCTCAATCAAACAAGATTGATGCCTTAAGTATACTTAAGGCGGTACAGAGGCTGTACAGTATAAATATAGTGTTGTTAATAGCTTAATAGTTTTAATTTCTGCTCAGTGAGTTTCGCCCTATTGGTCCCATAGCTTTACAGATTGTTTCCCCTTGAACTGGTGTATACATGGTTTTAAGAACCTCTTGTACTCCTCTGAGGTACGCATACCCTCCTGTGATATGGTGACATATATATTCACAAACATTTTGGCCAAAGCTGATATATTTAAAGCTTAATTGGTGGGGTGAGTGTAATTAACTTCCCTATTTTCTGAGTGTTTCTATGGATGGCTTCCTCATGTTTGCAAAAGCAGGTATATTGGAAAAAAAGAATATGTTTTCAAAAGTGGGTAGAAATACTAGATTTGACAATGAAAGGGTATATTATTAATACCTCCTTTAGCTGTAAGTAAGCTTCTTTGCTTATTTTTTTTTTCCCTTCATACCGAAAAGAAAGTCTATTAAATAAAGATTTGGTGACAGGTACAGGTAAAATCCTGGATGCTGCAGGAGTTTTCAGTTAAGAAATAAGACTGATGAGAGGAGTTGCCCATTATTACAAACTTCCATGCCCATACAAATGTTACTGCCTCATAAAGGCCAAAAAATAGGCAAGTGGGGTTTGCCCTATGCAGTAAATATCCTGAATTATATAATCCAAAGTGAGAAAAATAGGTACTGCAGGTATTTTGACTTGCAGGCTTTTTACTCAGGAATGATAGTTATCAATTAAGGCTACATTTTCTAGTTATTCATACTTTGCGGAACTGGAAGAACTATAGGAAATAATTGCAAATTTGTTCCTAGGTTTACCTATATCATTAGTTTTGTTATTGTAAAGTAGTACTGAAGTAAAGTAATTTAAATTACGGTAATTTTTATCCTAGAAATATTTTAGTATTTCTCCCAGAGTAACAATCTCGTTATAACGGGAGTTTAATTGAAAGTGTCAGCTGAGAAGTATCAACTGAGTTAACTCCTGAAAGCGTTACTGTTTTGGATCTTAGGTGCCCCATGCCTCATGGTGCATAGGTTTACTTAAAATATATTTCCAGAGAGCGAATTGAAGTATAGTCTAAGTTATTCTAAAAAAAAAACCCAAGTTCTTCTGTGAACAACATCAGGATGTTCTTTGTTTAGGTAGAAACAGCAGAAGAGAGTCCATTGCGACATTCTGAAACTTAGGAGATTAAAGGATTTTGTTTGGCCTCAAACTATTTACGCCTAGTTCAGATGCTTAACAAGCAGCTATTTAGAATGGAAAAGAAAGGGAAAAAAAAGATGTAGATAGTAAAAACAATATATTAAATTTGTTTGTTTGTTTGTTGTAATGAGGAAACATGAACCTTGTTTTTGCATGGAACATTTTAATCTTACGAGCTTTGGTTTCTGTGACACTGCTGAGAACACATAATCAGCACGGACATTAATAGATTCAAGTAGGCATTTATCTGCTTAATAAAAGAAATGCCAAGGAAAAAAACCAGGGCAACTAATTCTGCACTGGTAAAAGAATACATGTAGTCAATCAATATTTTCTTCACATTAATTCAGTTTATATCTCTTTGCTGCTCCATGAGGCTCGTGCTCTGAGAGGATACAGTTTGGGAGCTAATCCCATACATTCATATAGGCTATATAACTCTGCCCAAGAGATCTAACTTTCCCTGCCTTGCTTCGCACATGGTTTTGATCAGCAGGCGTTTGAGGGAATTTTAATTTCCGTTTATTCTTTTGTCTTCTCTTTAATGTCATCAGACTATTTTTTTTTTTTTTTTGGAAGATGCAATATTTTTTGCTTTATTTAGACAATTGAATGTTGCCACTGTCATCTATACAGACAGTTCCTATGAGGAGCTGTTGCCAGCTGAAGCAGTCTTTTTTCCCTTTTTTCCCTTGCCAAGTGTTTGAAAAGCACATACTTAGGACTGATATTCATTTAGTTCCTTGTCTCCAGAAAATGAACTATTTTCAATTATACTTTGAATTTTTTGAGTCTCAGTAATAGACTTTAGAGTATAAGTAAACTAGATCAGTAAGCAAAATTTAAGCTGAAGGCTTTAGTCGCCATTGATATTGTCTACAAGGTTGGGTTTTTTATTTATTCATTTTTCCTGTGAGTAAGGATATGCTGAGATGTTTATCAGGTTAAAGAATGAGTATTAATCTGTTTGGAAAACAAGAAAAACTGCACACTTTCAAGCTGCACCGTGTCTTTTTTGACTGTTGTTAGCTTAGGTCAATTATTTTCATCCAATTACTATAACACCTGTAACTGTCTGCAGTACAAACATTAATAGTAACTAGTAGTCCACCTTCACATTACTTTAAACAAACTGAGCTTTAATGAAAAAGTGAATGAAATGCTGTTAAGTCCTTAATATACAAAAAATATAAAAAGAAGAAAATAAAGTATACTCGCATAGTTTAATTTCATCTTCTTTTAATTTTGTAGAGGTAACAAAATTTGTTACAAATGGAATCAGCCTGCCTTTTCATAGTGATGGTCTTACTTTAGTTTTAGATTTGCTAGTTTTACTTTACTTTTCAGCCTGGCATTACTGTGGCATGACATGCTGGAAAATATATAAGGAAAGTGTCTTCATTTCTGACCGTTTTTCCTAAAGCCTAGAAATGATGATTTCCAAGAATGCAGTCACTGCCACCATAACAAGAGTTGAATTGCTGCATGTCTGTACTTCCTACCACAGCATGAATGGGTCAGTGTGGTATTTCATAAATAAACTGAGTTTTTTATTATTTTTCTTAGTACCAGTTTTGTGACAGGGATTCTCCTTAAAGAAGCTAGGGCTCTAGATACCACTAAACTTCAAAAGGTTTTAGGTAGTTAATGCCTGTTAGAAGGCATTCTTTGTTGTTAGAATACTAATATTTCGGTACAAATGGATCAGTGGTTTTTCACAACTTTAAACACGCTAATGCACTGCAGGAATGAAACAACTGACAAAAAGCAAAGGTAAGACGGGTAGTTGCAAGAGCAAAGCCTTTCCAGTAGTAAAATACAGACCTTCAATGTCTAGAGAGACTAGGCTAAATCCATGAACTTTTTTTTTTTCAATCTGATACCGTTAAGAATAAATACATTACTAATTTTGCAAAATGTTTGGCAAATATATATGTATAGTATTGAAATTGTTGATCTTAAAGCACAGGAAGAGGAAAAAAAGATCAGTTTCAAACTTCAGAGTTGTAGACTAACATATGAATTACAATATGCCAAGTTACTAGGAGCCTTGAAAATATCTAATAATTGAACAGTTAGATAAGTAGGATCATACCAGCATTTGGGAGGCTAAACGAATTAGGTATTTTGCCAAGTCTGTGCAAATACCATGAGATCCATAAAACTGATGAAGTACTCCGCTTGATTTAGTAACAGTGCAGTGATTTGTGGGAGAGACCACAAGCAACTGGATGTGTTCTTTCTCTAGCTCTATGAAACAACATTGGAGACTTCTCCTACCTAACATATCTAAAGAAGAAAAGGAAAGATGTCAATATGGATTTTTTGTAGCCACTTTGCACATCTGAAGAATGGTTAAAACACATATCATCCTAGCAAGAAGGTTTGCCGCTGTCGCTCAGCTATCTCATTTTCATTGTATTATGAAAATTTTGTAGTACCCAAATGGAAACAGCTCTTAGATGAAGAGATGGTGGTTCAGCTCGGACCTGGCAAGTCTCAAATGCTATTATCAAAAAGTGCAGTTACTTTGAAAAATTGTGTTGCACCACATTATGTTACTAGTTGAAAAAGTAATACGACACCCTCAATAAAGCCTGCGTTGACTCCATACTTTCATCTTCTGTGTGAAGATTTGGCCTTAATGATCACAATTTGATTATTTTAATTCACTGAACCTGAATAATACAATCTCTCCTGGCTCTTACAGAATCTTACCTGATAACATAATACATGACAGTACTTGAATCTTCCTATCAATGCTAGAAGTCGTCTTTTGTTTTCTATAGCATGCATTGGCTTTCGTGACTTTTTTTTTTTTTTTTTTTTGGGCAGTTATATACTCTCTTTTTGGTGAGTTACCAAAGTGGGGGGTTGGCGGGTAGGACCAGCTGTTCTCAGAAATGACAGTTTTCTGACTGCTTTCCTACTTGCTACATTGCTGGCTGGTGGGTATGGAAAGGAGCTGCAACCTTTCTAGCTGGTTTTCATATTTGGGGTGGGTAAGTAGATTTCACTTCTGTTCTGGTTTTGTTTACCTATTGTTTCTTTTGTGTGAATACCATCTTTATTAGTTATTTCTGCATGTTGATAAGGTGCTATACACCACAACCGTCTTCCAGTGCTGGGTTCGCTCTATTGCATAGTCCTTCAGGCAAGCTGTATTCTTTGTGCTTTTCTTTTCAAGTAATTTAATTGCATTGATACAGATATACAAAGTAATGTGAAATAAGGAAGCAGTCGTAGGGTGACTAAGATAAGAATAGCATTTCAAAGTGAGCCAACCGAGTGTGATACTAATGAAGATAAAAATAAAAAGGGCAATTACTTTATACAAATGTCTTTAACTTAATAACAAAGATGTCACTTCTTAATAAAAAGTTTTTTTTTTTTTGGTAATGCTTCTCGTATTTTTCAAAGATCTGATAACTTTTGCTTTCCATTTCTAAAGTAACATATATAAAAACGATTACAGGTGATAAACATTGTTTAGAAAGCTTATAACGATGTTATACACTTTCAGTGCACTAGGTTGTCTGGTTTCTGTTTACAGCATGCACTGCTACTTCACATATGCTATAAAAATGTGTAGATGAGTGTTTAAGAAGTGCCATGGGGCTATGCCTCCCGAGCTTTAGATAATTTATAGAAACAAAATCAAAACATAATAACCGTCACTTCTTTAAAAAAAATCTCCTAGATAAATCAAGTATTATGATGAATAATAATTCAGTATCCATTCTTGCTGCACTTTACATATCTTTATAATATTGTTCCTTCACTAGTCTCTAAATGAGTACATTTTGTAGACTGTCTTTTGAAAGTTCATGGTAAACGATGTCAACACATTTTATTTTAAGAATCTGTGAAATCAGAGTTATATGCACATCTGTTGAAAATCTGCTAAGGACTGCCTGATAGGAACATTTTTATATAGTGCCCTATTTATGAGCTTCCTTGCTGATTGCATTTTAAGAGAATGTCTCTCTGCACAGATGACATTCAGTTTTTTAATTCACTTTTAATAAGGCAGTCCTTTTCTGAGATTTATTTGCTTAAGATAATGAGGTAGGATTACAGAGGAATTAACAGCAATGCTATTAACTTTTTTTTTTTTCCTTGGGTCTTTCCTTGGGTCTAGCCTTATGCTTTCAGTTTGAAAGTAAGTTGAGATTTATTTTTCCTAGGCTACACAACAAATTCAAGACCAGAAGACAAAAAGGCAGCTGAGGTAGCAATTCTTCGGAAAAATTAAGACACCTGTGTCTCTGAGGTATGTTTGCTTTAGAAACGTTGTTAATTATTTATTAGTCTTGCTGCTTGTGTATAAGAATAGTAGTATGTACTTTTGAACGTTAGTGACTTTTTTCACATCTTCAGATGTAGCTTGAGTTGAATGGAAATGCCAAAGTATACTTCTTTATTTTCTCTTTTTGGTAAGTAGTGGGAATAATTTAGTTATAGATCTGCTTCTCTTTAATCTGCGCCATCTTTCTATCTAGAAAATCAGGTATACTCAGATGCACAGCTAAAAAACCTAGGAGGTTCTATATTCTTTCTGACTTTTCAGTTACAGCTTTCTTCTTATGCTCTGGTTACTGTGGAAAATCTCCAGAATAAGATACTCTGTAAAGAAAAGAAAAGGAAAAAAAAAAAAAAGTTTCCATCCTATGTATAATATAGATGATTATACAGTATAGTGTATATTTTATGTTTTAAATAGGTACAAGAAACATTTCTGCCAACTAGATGTAAAGAAAAGCATATATAGAAATAAATTCCAAATAACTCAGTAGGGGACACAACAGAAGGTCTTCAGTAAGCAGACTGAATAATGGAGGATATACTGAGGAAATTCATCATCACCCTGCACAGGTTTAAAAATAGTACATTTAACAATGTTCCTCAAAGTTATAAGAACCGTTTAAACTCAGTAAGGGATTTTTTTCCACCGTTGTAAATGTACTACCAAAGCTTGCAAGAAGTAGATAAGTTGAGTGATGCTAATTTCAATGTTATTTTAGGTCTAGTCATCATTTTGTATGTTCAGGAGCTTTATTCTAACAACAGAGAGAACAAATGATATTCTTCATATAAACAAAAATGCTGAGGTCCAGCAAGTGTTCTTTCTGTTAGGCTGTGGGAATGTTTACATCTCGATTATATTTCCAAAACTCCTTCCAACCCTAATTTTCTCTTTCTTTCAATATGTTCAGTTTCAGAGGACGTTTTTTTCCCTTACATCAGACATTTCCCCAACAACAGTAATATGCAGCTTCAGCTATCCTTGATTTCTCCATCCTGACTTGAAGCTCCTTTCTTTTTGCAGAAGGTATATCTCACCAGTGTAGACTGTGTCCTTCCTACCTTCCTGTCAGATTTTTGCAGTTTGGCTCATTTTTTACTTGACTGAAAGAGCATGTTGAAGTTTTTGCTAGTGATGCAGCCATCTCATGGCTTTCTAAATAATGTAAGTGTGTAAGTACCTGGTAGTGATGCACATATTTTGGCTAAATATATGTTCTCTGGTTTAAAAAAAAAAAAAAAAAAAAAAAGTTGTGAATTTCTTCCTCACATTCCCTTAAATATATTAATTATTTCAGCGTATTTAAAAACTACTGACCTGCTCAAGACCTTTGACCTCTAGGTCTTTGCATTAGATGTTTAATAAGATAGGATTGTAGTCTTCGGGGACTACGGGGACTAGAAGTTCTCTTGAGTTCTTTAAACTCTCTTTGTATGACATTATTCCCACAGAATACATTCAGAGTATTTTTTTTTTTTTTTTTGCCTCCTGGCATCTGTAACCACAAATACCTCTTTTTCAATGGCCCATCTTGTTTCGTTGAAGCAATACCTGAGGTACTGTAAAGAATGACCAAAGAGGAATGAGCAAATACGTCTTCACAGGTTTAAGTATGTGCTCTCTTATCGGAGAGCATACCTACATTTTCTGTCAGAAAAAGGAATTTAAAATTGTTGCTGAACTTCAGATGAGGCTATACATGTGACATTTAAGAACAGTGCTTTGCGATAAATCAATAATCTCCATTGCCTTTTCATGATTCTCATTGAGATACATACTTGTTCCTCAGGGCACAGTTTGTCTCAGAGAGAGTATTTGATTTGTAGTCTAAGGGTGGAAGCTCATAGTTATTAGTGTTAAATATATGTAGCTTTCAGAAGCATAGTAAGACAATATATTTATTTTCAGCCGTTAGACAAATTTTTAATGAAAAAGGAATTTGATTTTACTGGGTCTGTTGAAGCAAGACGCCAGGTAAAAATATTTAACAATAATTATTCATTATGCTTCAGCTTCATATATATTTGTGAAGTCGATTCGTTTTCCCCTAGCGTGATCCTTGAACATTGTCGTAAGTTTTTTCTTGTTGCACAGAGAAAATAAAGATGATGTAAAGGCTATAAAAAGCTCAGATTTTGAGACATGAGTGTAAAGTACTAGAAAAAATGTAATATATTATGAGGAAAAACAAGCAAAAAAAGCCTGCCCTGTCTTGTTCCATCTACTGGCTTATTTAATCTTGTTCAGTTCAACTTTTTTTTCACTTCGTGGAGTTATGTCATGGCCAAGTTACCCATGTGACTTCAAAGTACTCCATAACGCTAATTGCTACAGTAAAGATACTGGTTTCCTTATGTCCTTGGTGGCAGAGAGGATTCTGTCTTCCCTAAGAGCCTTTGTGTCATCTAATAATCAGGGTAAAGGAGAGATTAGCTTTGCAGCTAACAATTGTTCTTCCTGTATATCCTTCTTTAGTCTTCTTATTGGACTTAAAATATTCTCACAGTCATCTGAAGCTATCCTTTAGTATTTTTCCCTGATTGCGTAGGCCTTATTTGGCAACCAAGGCAAGGACCTAGGAAAAGAAATTGTACTGAAGTTTTTAGAATATTGTACCTTACTCATTTAATAAATCTTAATGACGTAAGAATATAAATGGAAACGTGCAAATGCATTTAGAGCGTTCTTGCTCCTAATTAACCTGAAGTATACGCTCCTCTTGGCTGGCAGAGGCTCTGTACCAGCTGATGAGCAAGGCTTTTGTTTGTGGCTTATGTATCTGTGTCCATTTATTCCATATGTAATATTATAACTTCAGTTCTTCTTTTCCAGAAGAACGTAAGATCTCTGAACTCGAGAGCCAGGAGTTGAGGAGTCTCTGATCTCTGATCCCTTGGGCTCTTGTTTGTGTGATGATTTTTTATGTCCTCAGCGCTATTACAGCAGAACTCGAGAAGAAATGGGAGGGTGGGGAAGGAGCAAGTCAAGTGATTTCATTTTGCTTCTCTACGTAGAATGAAGTTATTTCACCTTCCCCATGCTCCTGTGCTCTTTGCGGAGCTGCCGTTCTGCGATACTTCTCTTCAGCTTTCAGCTTTCCTCCCTCTCAGGTCTTACAGACCTTTCTCCTGCCAGATTGTTTTACGAGTGTTTTCGTAAGCATTCTTTTTAATATTGAATTCTTTTCTCTATTATACAGGTGATGTCTAACTTAATTTTGGGTTCCCAATAAAAAATTATTTTTCTTCCTCTGTTTATTAGCTTTATGTGATAAAGTAGCAGTTATTTTCTTTGTAAGTGACTGTACCCGCATACAGCATGCCTCCAGTTTTACGACAGTATCAAATACATAATCCGTTCACTTTCTTGACGTATGTACTTTTGGTTAAAATAATACATGAGACAAGTTGTTAAACTGAAAGCCTTATACTTTGATAATCTTCGGAATGTCTGCTTTGAAAGCTGACTTGAGAAACGGAGATGGAAGTTTTAAAAACTAGGTTAGCACGGGTGCATATTTAGAAGGGGCTAAAGAAAGTTTAACCCTTCTTGTAAGACTGAAATGTAGAGTTTTCACCCTTTGTCCTGTGGTTGGATGGCCACTGCCCAGCTACTCAGTCTCTTTTGGAGGTGAATGCGCCCTTGCCTTTTAGGCTGTATTTTTTTACATGAACATTTATAGGCAAGTTGTGTTGAAAATGACACGTAGCATTCACTTCTGTTTCTTGGGGATTCATGGCAATATGTTGGGCTAGTATTTAGGAAGTGTACTAATGTAAGCCTGTAAAACCATTATGCATTTTAAAGGGATAACTGGGCTTCTGAATTGAGGTTCAGTATTTTCGGGTGCTGGCCTCACTTTCCGGGATATCAACTGAGGAATCAATTTTCCTCTTAGTCAGTCTCAGATATAAGATTCGCTTAGAACCTGGAGGATAAGTGATATTTTAGTTTTGAAATCCTGACCTTTTCAGTTGGCTGAAAATGCAAATACATTGCACAGTGATTTGAGTATTTTGTCAAATGAAGTTAAAAAAACACTTTAAAATAGAGCATGGATTGAAGTTGACAAAAAATGCCAACTTAAATTCTGGAAAGCCTGAAAGTTAAACATTCCAACTTCTTCAGGGTTTTGTACTGGGAAAGCCATTTGTAAAAACTGGAAAGAATTTGTGAAGTAGTTTTCAAATACTTTGATTTTCACTTCTGAGAAGGAGTATAAACACCAACATTTTGCTTAGCTTTAAGCGGACTAGATTACATCTGAACTAATGGTACAAAAGGCAGAGGCAGATGTTTGTAAATCATCACTCTGTATCACTCAAAAAAAAAAAAAAAATCGGGATCATTTCAAGTTGATCATGTTGATCAGAAAATTACATTATTTTAATTGCCTGACAGCTAAGGTCAAAAACTGTTCAAGGAAGCTAACAATGACTAAATGTCAGTAATGTTAAAAAGTCATGAAAACGGAACGTATTCAAACACCTCATGCAAATATGTTAGGAGGATTTCAAGGTAAATTTCTAAACATACGATCAAAACATAAGAGCAAAGAGTCTGTCATTAGTGTGTCCAATCTTAACTAAAAGCTGTTTTAGTAGAAACCCGTCACTAGCTTTTATTTGTGTGACCCGTTTCTTTTTTGAAGTAGAACCTAGCTACTCTGTGTATCTTCTGTTATATAGATCTCAGCTTCTGTTTATGTAGCCTGTATGATCTCTTTTAGGGTAGTGAAGAAAACCTTTGAGTACTAAGTGGGTTGTTTTCCTGTATGAATTCAGTGGCACATACTTACAGTATTGAAGTAATAGAAACACAATTCAAGACTGCATATTAAATGTTAATAGCATGAGGGATGAGCAGTTTAGAAAAAGAGGGGGGGATAATAAATGGCATTTCGTATTTTAGTAGAAAGTATCATTAAGGTTTCCTAACCAAAAGGGGAATGCTGCAAGTCTTAAGGT